TGATATCCACTTTCCACGGCAGCCGAACAGTCACTCAAGTTCTAGGGTTCATCAACAGCCCCTTAGAGTGCAGACTAGGGCAACATACAATCAGTGGAAGGGGAACAGTCCCTACTCAGATTCTGGAACATTAACAGTCGTGCAAGAAGCCATAAACAGGAAGAGAGAAAAAAAAAATCTCAGTCATAGGCAGCACAGTCATCAGTCATGAACTCGAACTTCCCTTCAGGTCAGATTGCAATAGGCAGTTCAGTCATGAACTCGAACTCCCCTTTAGGTCAGAGCCTTCCTTCGAACATCTGGGATGGATTTCTACAGTCCTCTTAGCCGAAGCAACCCAGTTACCAGCAAAAATACATGTAGCTGAACCCTTTTTCTGTGCTAGGAAGTTGAACAGTCAGCATACTTGTAGCAGAGCTCTACTCGGCACTGGAGACTAACCGCAGCACTAGAAAAGCTTCCTCTTCCTTGTCTTCGAGCATCAGTACTATAGCTCCTTTGCAGCAGAGGAGAGAGACCTCAGCTAGTTGTTTTCTAGGTCTGGACGAACCTGCTCTGATACCATGTTGAGCAGGAGACCAAGAAGAAGAAGAAAAGAAGAAGGAGAAAAGAAGAAAGAAGGAGAAAAGGAAGAAGAATAAGAGGCAACTGAGTTAAGGCCTCAACCAAACTTAGCTTCAGTYGAGTGAAGCTTTCTATTTATACTGTTCTGGCCGTACATAACAATATGTATACAGAATTACGAAAATACCCCTGCAGGTACTAAGCCTGTGTTCAGTACATATAATACACCTGTTAACAATGTGAGTATTTTACAAATAAGAGAAATTAATTTGCTATTTACTTAAAGGATAAATTTAAGAAAAGTATTAATCATAATACTATTAAATGGCATGGTAGTTCTGGTATTTAATATACCATTTACTTGGGGCAAAATTGAAGTTCCAGATTTAGACGGGGAATCAAATGCAAAATACCAAACAGGTTAGGAAAAATAGTCCTCAAGAAAGCAGGACACTACTAATTGTCTTAAGCCAATCTTTGATTAATCATTATTTACTTTTCTTTGTTCTTTTTTTGGGTGGGATGGGGGTTGGAGAGTTATTCTATTGAGAAGATTAAGGAGGTGATCAAATTAAGAAAATATTTGTGCAGAAAAGAAAAACAAAACAAAAATTAAAAGAACTGGCGGTGTGATCAGAGACTCCTAAAGCAAAGTATTAGCTATGTATTCAGGACCTTTAGGGGAAGGTGATTCTTTAAAGGCTGAACTTTTGGCTCTGCTACAGGGGTTAAAACTTGCCAAGCAAACAGATCTTAAGAACTTGGAGGTGGAAGGGGACTCAAAAATGGTGATATCATGGACCAATTCAAGGGGTAATGTGCCTTGGATTTATAGACATCCTCTTAGGGAGATTGAAAGCCTAGCAAGGGAACTCAATGCCTCGTTCACATGGATCAGGAGAACTGAAAATGGGATGGATGATTCATTAGCCAAACAGGAGTTCATAAGCAGTAGCTGTTTCGGGCTTTATTGTTACCCTCTGTGGTACAATGTCTGCTTTGTATTTGCTCAAATCATGTAACTGTTTATCTTAATTAAATAAAATTCTCCTTTTTCTGATAAAAAAGTTTAAAGGAAAAGGTGCATGGTAGCTATCTATGATGCCGAGATACGGATATGGACACAGACATATACAGGGAATGGAGATATGACTCTCCATTTCCTAGCATCCTGGACACAAATATGGGTATCCCATTTAATATGTTTTGTGTCGTGTGTTTCTATCTAGTTTGTGAAGCTAAATGCCATTTTCAAGACTTGTATCTTGCCAAATATAATTAAGTTTCTAATATGTGCAAATCTTTTTATGGTATTATTTTTTAAAACATACCATTTTACATATTTTCGAAGTGTAACGATATAAATTATATCTAAAAGTATCCATGCAATATCTGGTATGATATCTGACACTGGTATGCTATGCATGTATCTTGGTATCATAAGAAGTTATAGCTAGAAGAAGTCTACAACTTTCTCTCTCTCTCTCAAAAAAAAAAGACAAATCATTGCCAAGAAGTATGGTATCTTTACTAAATGAAAAAGACAATGGACTTATATCCTTCTAATTACTTGAAAATTGAAGCATAATTGAATAAAAACATATGGCATGCCTTTTGTTTCCTAGAAAAACATGGTTGCCCCTATATTCTCTCTGATATATTCCAATATATCATGACAGGGATTATTCCCCAAGCAAGCTTTTCCTCTTTTTGAAAGTGGAAATATTGTAACTGCAAAGATGTATGATCTTTAACCATCTAATCATTGTATTGTTTTGTGAAAAGGACATAAACCTAGAACAAAGTGATATATTTACTTGATATATTAAGACCCAAAATATGATTTTTTATTGTGATTGTACAGTACCTAGCAATGAACTGAATTCAAAATGTAGGGATCTGTTTTGAATTACAGAAATGGTATCCGGTGTCAAAGACATTGGCGGAGAAAGAAGCCTGGGACTATGCAACGAGGCATGGGATGGACGTGGTGGCAATCCATCCAGCCACGTGTTTGGGACCACTTCTACAATCTAGTTTGAATGCAAGTTGTGCTGTATTGCAACAGCTTTTGCAAGGATCAAAAGAAACACAGGAGTACCACTGGTTGGGTGCAGTACATGTGAAGGACGTGGCCAATGCACAGGTTCTGCTCTTTGAGAACCCATCTTCTTCAGGAAGGTACCTGTGCACCAATGGAATCTATCAGTTTCGTGATTTTGCTGAAACCGTCTCCAAAATCTATCCTGACTTTCCCATTGACAGGTACATGGCATGTGCTCTGTAAAAAGTAAAAACTATCTTTAGTGGCTCTTTTAATTTATTGTATGGATGATGGATCTTATATAGTATTAACATGATAGACTCTCACCAATATGCTGTTGCAAATTGTTAATTAATGATTGATACATGAAAATTGCTTATGTTTATGTATCAAACTTGTTGTCAAATAATGAAGGGCATTAGAGACCGTGACAAGATTGCTTGGGACTTTGGAGCAGTCTAATATAGGTTTCTTACAAGGCCATCATCCGATGTTGGTCCCAGCTGGGTTCACCAAGTGCTTAGGAGCAGTTTTAGTGGGGCGAATATGGTTGGTAAAATTTTTTGGAGCTGGGTTCACCAAGTGAAATATGGAAAGAGAGGAATAAAAGGATTTTTGAAGGAAAAGCATGTAACAGGATGAAGACTTGTGCGTGGATTGGTTCAAGACTAATGGATTGGGTTCTAATTTTACCAGAATTCAGAGATGATTCAAGAAGCTCCTTTGAGACAAACTTTTGGGAAACAGTTGGATGGGGCAGGGTCTCGGGGTAGCTTGTTCTGTTTTGATGTAAAAATGAAGTAATCTGTCTTTACTATGTTGGTGATTTCTCATCACCTTTTATTTTTTTCTTTTTCTTATATTGTAATCTGTTGTACTCTCTTGCTTTCCTCTCTCTTCAACAAAATTTTATTTTTATCTACTACCAAAAAAACATGGTTAGTAAAGAAAGTACTGATCAAAACACAGATACACACACATGGTTACTAAAGAAAGAGAAATGATGAAATATGTAGATTATAAATGAAAATAGGCTACTCTAGTTAATGCTTGAGAATTAACTTAGAATGGTTATAATATGTCTAGGGAAGAGATTGGCGGATGTAGTTTAGAATGAGAAAGCTGAAGTTTTAAAGGTGTTTAGGTAGAACTGGAAACTAGTTATAAGTGCAACCTTTAGCAGCAGAAGGTGCAACTTGGAATAGCTATATAAGCCATTAGGTACAGCACAGAGAAGCACATGGTGTTCATTATCACAGAACAAAAAATGAGGGAAATGGAGACAGAGATTGAGGATAGTGCACCTTGAAAGATACAAGAATACAGAACTTCAAATCAAATTCATATTCATTCCATCTCTTAAGTAAACTCTTAAGATATGTCTATAAAGCTCCATGAGGGCTAGACATAATTTTTCCTAAATAAACTCAAATAAATGATCAAGGAAAGGATTACTTGACACCCCAGAAATTTTCATCTCACATAAACTCTTTAAAGCAAGTAAGAACCATTAACTTAATCTAAATCAAACCAATATTACTGAAAATAATTGTAATTTTACTATAAATAAAAAAACAAAAACTTATTTATAGTAATTTTCACATTTTACTAAGAATAGTAAATTTCTGGAAGATTGAAACTTAACTGTACAATCACTTCCGTGACTTTTTTAATCAATTTTAGCTCCCACATCACTTGAACTTGTACTTTTTTTTTTGTTAGAAACACTATTTGAACCTATTTTACTAATAATTACATGTTTGTTATGTGTACACATCTTAGTGTACATAGTAGCACCATCAAATCTGATCTTAATCAGATCACAATGTTCTAGATCTGTAATCCAATTTATTTATTTATTGATAAGTAACAGCATGCAATTGTTCATCTGAAAAACTCCCAAGAGCTGGGTAGCATGGATAAGTACAGGATATACAATGTGTTGGTACAAAATATCAAATAGTCTCACAAAGGACTTTACAACAAGATCCACCTCATAGGTTTTCTCCATACAAAATGTTCTCTGTTTACTCCCTACTTGGCAAGAGAACCAGACAAAGCATTTTCAGACTTATGGACCCATCTGAATGCGCTCTTTAGATTGTGAATTAGTTTCTGCACTTGTCTAGTTAAGGGTCTGTATCTCTAGTAATGTCTTCTTGCTTCATCTAACTTGGAAGAACTTTGCAATCCCCTTCAATGATAACTTGTCCACCCTTGAGAGATCATTAGCTTTAATCCTTCTCTTACTGCCAGAATCTCAGCCTTCAAAGAATTTTTGTGCCCTATTGGTCCTGAATAGCTGAGAAAAGTGTTACCTCCATGATCTCTTATAAAGCCTCAAATGCTAGATGCCCCTGGGTTACCAAGACTGCAGCCGTCAAAATTTAATATTATCTTCCCCTCGTTAGGTGCTCTCCATTCCTCTAGTCTGTCATGGATTCTAGGCTGGTGAGCTGCCACTATCTGCCAACTTCTCAAAAGCTCATCGGTGAAAACACCTTTAAATTCCTCAAATGCTAATGCCCAATGGGCTATTCTCACTTTTGAAAGGTCAATGAACTAGTTGGCGTCCAATTCTTTGTCTTCACTAATCCTAGCATTCCTTTCTCCCCATATTCCCCATAAAATTGCAGCCCTTTTACAATGACATAAGATTTTTTTTGTCCTTTTGTGTGGTGTAGCAGCATGTTGGTGAAGCATAGGTCTAAGGCATTCAATGGTGTTTTCCATTCTCCACCAAAGATGGAAAGGAAATGGATTCAAAGTGGCATGAACATGATGGAAGGAGATGGTTAATGCTCTCTCCACGAATCCTGGCATTCCTTTCTCCCCACATTCCCCATAAAATTGCATCCCTTACAATGCCATAAGATTTTTTTTTTTGTCTTTTTGTGTGGTGTAGCAGCATGTTGGTGGAGAATAGGTTTAAGGCATTCAATGGTGCTTTCCATTCTCCACCAAAGATGGAAAGGAAATGGCTTCAAAGTGGCATGATGGAAGGAGATGGTTAGTGCTCTCTCCACTCTAAAGACAAAGAGGGCACACATGAGGTGAGAGTGTTCTCTCAACTCTTATAAAGAGACATGTTATTGAAGTTCATATCTGGCTGGTGTTGAAAAGGATTTCAACAACACAAATAAAAGAAATAAAATCAACCACATCTGGATCATTATCTGATCCATCAAGAGTCTAGTCTAGTGTCCCCATGGCTTGTTACAATCTAGTATAGTGTTCCTGGAGGCTGCAGAAAATAGATCTTGACTTCCATTTTATGAGATCAAGTGTCAGTGTCAAGAGTCCATGCCTATATACACAATAGAATACAACTAGGTTCTCCCATAGTTTATCTGCCTGGTTAACTGGTCCAATTGTTCAAAATAGTCTATTCTCTTGGTTGGACTTCTAAAGCTCGTTATATGTTTAATTAAATTGTTTGAACATTTAACAGATCCCATGAAGCTTTCAGTGTTAGTAAATTCTAAAATTACTCAGCATAATATTTAACTGGCATAGTAAAGAAGATAGATTTGCCTTTTCATTCTGACTCTACATGAACAATGATAGAAAGGGGGCAGAGACTAGTGATGATCAAATCCAACCTGGCCTGCTTTTTCTGGTCTTCCAGACTGGAAACTTCTGGGCCCATAGATAAGTTTTACATCCAGGTCCTGCTTGGCTTTGACTTGCATCAAGCCCACATATAATGTTGCCTGGTGCTTACAAGTTTAGGCCTCAAAAACCTGGCCCTGCATGTATATTACAATGTACATATTAAATGATTGGCCCACTGTTTCTCTTTCTTATCTTTTCCCAAAGCAACCCCACTCCACCCTATTGCATCTCCACATCATCCCCATCACCCCCTTNCCCCCCCACCTAGCACCCTGGGGCACCCAAACCCTCATCAACACTCTCATTGTATCTCCCCACATCAATATCCACCCCATTCCCACAGCACTTGTAGTGCTCCCCCTACACTCCACCTAGCACCCCAAGGTACTGAAACCCTCACTGCACCACTTGAGCACCATACTGTGTGCCTTATTGCACTCCCGCCACACCCCACTGCACCCCCATAATACCCTGCTCTAGCGGCTCTACCACTTCACCATTTTGGCTTGATACTTGAACATCAGGCCTCCTTACCTGTTACATGACAAAGAAATAGCATCTTGAACTTGAATAACACCTTTCCTTCTTTGGCTGCACCTAATGAGTATAATGTAACTTTAACTAATAGGCTTTCAGATGGACTTCATTCCTAAGGAGTGAAGAGGAAATAATGGCTTTGTTGTCTCTTCCTCAGACAATTTATTTTTTAATGATCTGACCACCGACTGGCCTTGTCATCGTTTACTGTACTAGAAAATCAAAGATATGATCAAATTGATGCATCCCTCGAATGACATTTATGCATCATGCCTCAATGTTTTTGTCTTTTCCTTATTCCATGTTGTGTTTTGGGGGTGGGGTGGTTAAGACATGATAGTGGGAGCAATAGGATAGTGGCAGAATAATCAATAATTGAGAACTGTTGTACAGGTGCACATGCAATTAATTCTTCTCTTCAGCTTTTGAAGATTCATAATGCCTAGCTATGGTCTTATCTTCTTTGTGGATGTTAATGTGGTGGATTGCCTCAAAAAGGTGGCAGCTCCGCAGCTTCACTTGTTGGAGTTCCATCTATCTTCTTATTGTCCTAGTTCTAGGAAAACTATATGTCAGATGCAAGTATTCTTGCTTTTCTGTAGGCCCATTGTCTATTTGGTTCAGTAAATTCAGCCATTTTGCTATTATTAGATTGTGTCCACATTTGTTGAGAGCTAAACATTATCATTGTGGTCCATCAACTGTCCTCAAGCCCCTGTCTTCAGTTTGGTCCCACTGATTTCTGTATGCCAGTTAATATGGTTACTGGAGAAAGAGATTCCTTTAAGCCTTAGTGGTCAATTTCTGGTGTCCCATGGTTATGTCTTTTGATTTGGACACTCTTGGAGTCTTATTGGTCATACTTTCAGTTCAAATGTTATCTATATGTCCTGGGCTTGGTGATCTTTCTGTCTTTGTCAGATACACATATGGGAAAGGGATTAAACATATAACTGATTTTTGAATCACATGAATTGTTTCTTAGATTTATTGGCAGGATTAAATTTGTAAGGCCGATATGCCTCAAACCTACTTTTCTTTCTCGGTTGTAACTCAAATTCTGATAAGAATGGTCTCAGAATTTGACAAAGTTAGTTGAAATTGATAAGATTGGGTACTTGCTCTGGCTTTGGCATTTTGTGGTTCCTAGAACCTTGATTCCTAACTTTAGCTATTCTATGCTATTCTCATTTTTCCGTTCCATTTATTTAATTCCCATAACGTTATTACTCTTGGTTCCACTTATGGAAACTGAAGGTCCCAAGCATGAATATAAAGTTGATGGTCCATTTTGGTAGGTCTGATGTCACTTGGTACTGAAGATATCATTAATTCCGTTTCTTTTGCTTTCTCTATGCTTTCTGAAAGGTACAACCAACAACTAGGATACTTTATTGTTTTTATTATTCTTTCTCAGGAAACATTATGGTTTATATTGCTTTTAGGCTTTCTTTTCCATTGAAGGCCTTGATTGATGCTAATTGCCCTAAACAATTTTTAACCTTTTGTCTATTATCCTGTTTTTCCTTTTCGATTAAATCTTTCATCTGGTTTCAAATGAATGAGAGGTCCTAATGCATGAAATAAACAGGTTTACCGAGGAAACCCATCCTGGTATGATGGGATGCAAAGATGCAGCAAAGAGATTGATCGAGTTAGGACTGGTCTTTACACCTATTGAAGATGCTATTCGAGACACGGTTGAAAGCCTCAAAGCAAAAGGCTTCCTGAGATAGGAAAATCTATTATCGTAGACCTTTTACTGCAATACTTTCAATTAAATATTTTCTTTAGCTAATGATGACTTGAAAAATTATCCTCAATGGAAAGTATTCTTATGTCGTCAATCATTTGTTTTGGTTCTCTTTTAATAGCTTTTGAGGAAGTGTGGTCCTTGACTCGTTATAAACGTTTGATTACACATCTTTAACCAATGGATTTTGGGTTACTGTTTCACCACACCTTTGAGGAATTAACCTATTACTTTCATGTGCCTCTGTGTCTTGATGAATTTTAATAAGGGAAAGCTGCTACTGATATCTCCCTTATACATCAAGCAATCTTGACGGTGCTGCATTCAGCTTTCTGAACAAGTTCAAGTTTACCCCTTCCATTTTCAATTTAATAAAGGAGAACTGCTACTGGAATCACCCTTATCCATCAAGCATACATACATTGACCGTCTGTATTCAGATTCCTGAACAGGCGACTCACATTTTCTCTTATATTTTATTGTTACTTTCCAACTTTTAGCAAGGAGTTGCCTTGATCTTTGATGCGGCACGGTCATGGTGTGGTAGATGGATGATGTTGGTTTCTGCAAGAAATTAGAAACCTGGTTGAGTGGTTGTCCTTCAATACGCTACATCCAACAAACAAGAAACAGGAGGACAGGTTCCAGGCAGGACTGCAGATATCACTATGGTCTCAAGTATATGCCCATATTTTTCTTTTCATCATTATCAAGATGGAAATGTACTTTTCCCTCATTAAGAGAATCATAAACCATACACATACACATTTTTTTAATCAAGTGGAGATGGGGATTGATGATGAATAAAAGGCTTGAGGACCATGATATTTTCATTCTTGGTGGGACCCATCTTGGCTGGCTTTGCGTGTGCTGTGATTAGGCCTCAAGGGGGTTCTCCTCCTCACTCCACCACACTCGTACTAGGAGAAGGGTCTTCTCACATTCTTGCCACCCACAATCCCATCAGGCAATGGAGAAGGTAATAATACATAGAAATAGAAATCATTTAAAAATATGTTGGGAATTGGAATCCCCCTTTTGGTTAAATTTCAGCTTTCCTTCCTCTTTAGCCTTTCCCTCTCTTGCAATGCCAACAAACACTCCATGTGCTTGAGCTTCCCCATCCTTTAACCCTTTTGCTCCTTTACCAGGAAAGAATCTTTCTTTAATATGAATACGTGAATGTGTGTGTATGTGGGTAGAGAGAGAGAGAGAGGCACGTGCAGTTCCAAATCATACAACTTCTTCTGCCACTTCATGTGCGTCAATCACCACAACCACAACCACCTCATAATATTATTCTTCCTTTCCTTCTCTTTCTAACCCACATATCAAACTAATCTTAAAGTTGTATTGCATTCCGTCCCTCCTCCTTTCTCTCTTTTCTCTATATCTTTCTCCATTCATCCATACCCAGAGAGAAGACAGAAGAGACTACCCAACAGCATTAATCCATGTACTGAGAGAGATGAGTACTGGTTCAGCAGCAGCAGCTTGCACTAGATCCTGGTAAGTATAATTTCATTTGACAACCCAAAGAACTCTTTCCCTTTTAATTTTAAGTGGGTTGTTTGGTTGATTGTGTTTTTGAGTCTGTGAAGGTCCATTAGTGAAGATTCACTGAGGAGATACGTCTATTTCGCGAGTGAGAGCTGCATTCAGGAGCTGCTATCAGCGTCAGTCTCAAACAGGGTGGGAAACGGCAATGATGGCTGGAAGGTTCTAGCACTTGACAACGGTGTGGAGATATCAAAGCGGCGCTCTGGTTCTCTTCACATCTTTCGTAGCCGTTGGCTTCTCAGATCAGTCTCTCCACAACAATTTATCACTGTAGCCAATGCCATCGATGCAGCAAAGGTGAGATTCATCAGTCTCCCCTTGCCTTGCAGCTGGTTAGCAGGATATATCTTTATATTTTCTAGCTTCAGCCCTGAGAAGACCCAATGATAAAGTTGTGAATGAATTGTTTCTACTTCTCATTGCATGCAAAACTTTTATCTAAAGTTTTGATTTATCATTTCACAAGATTTCCAACAACACACCGATTCATTGAGTTCATAAAAGGTTTGGCCGGCCAGTTTTTCATTGCTTAATAAAAAGGCAACTTTCTTTTTTAATACTTAATTGTTTCAGTTTTTTGTTTTATATAAAAATGGAAATTAAAAAACCATTGCTTTCTGGTGTCTGTTAGAAAGACTCAACTTCTGGAAAACCATAACTTTTCTTCTTCTTCTTCTTCTCTCTCTCTCTCTCTCTCTCCTGCAAGAACTGGCTCTTCATCATGTACAGCTTCACATATTTCTTTTTTTGTATGTTTTTTTTTCCTGCAACTAATGGCTCATCAATCTTCATGTATTATAGATCACACTATATTAATACCAATTCCTTTTTGTTCTTTTTTTTCATTGTTTTTTTTTGAGGCTGCAGCAATGGGACCCTGATCTGGTGGAGGCCAAATACATAAAAGATCTTGATGAAAACCTGAGCATCATCCGTCTAAGGTTTGGAGACAGCTCAAAACCCCTATTTAAGAACAGAGAATTCATCGTCTATGAGCGACGAGAGACCATGGATGATGGAACCTTGGTATGTAAAACTAGAATTTACACGAACCCTTTTAGTCTTAAATTCCAGTCAATTAATTTCTTCAACTCCTTAGGCTGCAGTGTAAGTTGAGAGTTCAGACTACGACAGCAGCTTTAATGGGGTTCATATAATATGTATAGGTGGTTGCTGTTGCGTCTCTGCCAAAAGAGATAGCTGCTGGGTTGCAGCCAAAACAAAATAATTCCATCCGAGGACTGCTGCTTCAGTCAGGATGGGTTGTAGAGAAGCTTGAAAACGATTCTTGTGTGGTAACTTACGTGGTTCAGGTAATTTTTTTTGTTCGTTTATTTGTTAATTGAACAACTGTGAATTGTTTATGTGTTGGCTCTTGCTCTCCATATGGTCCATACATTTAATTATTTTCTGGGTTCTTTCTTGCTTCCAGTTGGATCCAGCAGGTTGGCTTCCCAAGTGCTTTGTGAATCGACTTAACACCAAGTTGGTCATGATCATCGACAACCTTAAGAAACTAGCGCAAGCTTGTCCCACTAATGGTGGCATCTGATGGGTTGTTAAAAAGTTTCTAAAGAAATAGCAGTATATAAAATATACAATATATATAGTAATAACTTACAGTTTACTCTCTCTCTCTCTCCTAAATGGTTTTAATTAGTATCTCATAGTTGGTCCCTTGAATAAAGCTGTTCACAAGGTTCAAACGGATATATTGATAGATATACATACGGTACACAATCATGGGCCTACAACCATATCCCAATGTATTGGTACATATTGATGGGATTAACTGAATCAATATGCTGTGGAACCAATAATAAGGCTCCACACCAGTTATAAAATAGAGTCCGGATTTCTTGCCCACACAAACTCTGCCCCGTTTACCCATATAACATTGCAGTATTATACATGGAGAACATCTCATCTCAATTTACGGGGATAGTGTGTTGTGGGTAAATATGGGCAGAGTTCTGGTGGACAGGAGATCTAGAATGATTTCCTATAAATGGTCTGATTCAAAGTTTGAAACCTAAAACAATTTCTATCTATGCATATTGCCCCTTTGAATTACATCAATCTGCAACTGGTTAATTTTCAGTTCATCAGTATGGTTTTTTAATATATTTTTTTTAAATCATGTATTGATTCATTAAAACTTTCAGTGTAAATTCAAGAATGGTAGGATGGGCCCATCATCCATTTGAATTTGAGATGACCCTGCTATATAAACCAGTACAACATTAAGGAAAGATAAGACAAGCCTGGCGTTTCCATGAGCCTGTATAAATGACCCCTCAGTTGGGGCAAGTGCGGATGCAACGACCACTAGTCAAGTCTTAAGAGGCCATTATTGTGTCAGTTGAACCGAATTGATTTCGACCTTGGGAGTCAAATTGTCTATTGCCAATCTGAATAACTGGGTCTTTTTTCTTTTCCTTGAGAGAGAACAAAAATTAAGTTCTACTTGACCAACCAGCCTTTTGGCGTATAGAAAACGCCCAAACCAGCTCAAACCAGCTAAGAGATCTCTCTCTCTCTCTGATTTTCATTATTTGTCACATTTTGTCATCATCATCCTCATACAAGCCTTATCCCAGTTACATGGGGTCCCCTGTATAAATCATGTTTCGCCATTCCATTCTTTTTAATGTCATGAAAAGAGAAATCAAGATTTATCAAGAAAAATTTGACAAAAGTTTTGGTGTTACTACCGATCTGATACAACCCTACTCCTTTTATCTTGGCTTGTAAAAGATGGACTTATAACTTGTCACTTTTTGCATCAGAAACAATTAGAAGGGTGAAAACAAAGTTTTTGCTGTAAAAAGGTAGAAATAGTAATTAAAATATTCTATTCAAAATTTTCGTAGGGCTCCGTTTGTTTGCGATACAAACGCCGAACGAGATATTTATGTACCTGATTCGTGTTTGCGAGTGTTTGTTTGATATGTAAAAAAGTAATGATTGCCAGATCAAAAATGTATTTTTCGACACTTTTGTACTCTGAAAAGAGAGTATTACTGTACTTATTTTTTGTATACAATTTTGTGTTGTTTTGATAATTAACTTTTTGACCAAAGTTAAGGCATTGGAGCATAAGATAGTTGGAGCATTTAATGATGGGCCTACATTTTGCACAAATTTCAAACAAACAAGACGAGAGTAAAAATAAATTAAAATGTGAACCATGCTTGCATTCATGAACCGAAAAAGGATAAATATGCAGTGTACATATTTACGTTTGCATTGCAACCAAACGCAGTCTAGAGAACAAAGAGAACCTAAAGAAGTACTTTTCCTTGCCATTGCATTACAATCAGATGGCTAAGGTCTTTTTCAATTCAAATCCAAATCCAAACCAGTCGGTGATTTACATTCTATCTCTTTATAATTGGATTAAATATGGATCCACTCCAATAATGTTTAAAAATATGCTTATATCTATATACAATTTATCTTTTATATATTATTAAAATTCCTTTAAATTTTGTATATTTTATATTAAGTTAAAGTTTCATGGAGGATATTAATGCAATTTATTCATGACATGAAACATCAAAGTCATCTTAGTTGATTTTGATTTTGTAAATTTTTACTTCAACTTTAAATGATATTCAATCTGAATATTAACTAGGGCAGCGAACAGGTCGAATTAAATAGGATATAGGTAGATCCAAAATTGATTCATTTGTATTCAAATCCGTATGGGATCTTACCATGGATTTATATTGGATTCAAATCAAATTTGGATTGTAATAGGATATTAAATGTATAAACAAATCAAACTGAAAATGATAAAATATTATATATTATTAATATATTGAGCTAAATGACTTTGACATTGTAATTCAAAAACAAAATGAATTGAAAATTATTTGTATGAAATTTGAACCTATGACAATTTGGTAAAATACAAAATTTAGAATCCGTTTGGTTTTTAATCAGATTTGGAATTGGAATTAAAATCACTCAGAATTGGAATCGAAATGGTTTATTTCTATAGTCTGTTTGGTTCAGACAAGAATCGAAATGAAGATTGAAATCAATTGAAATGAGATTTCATTCCCAAGGGAGAAAGAGGGAATGACCATTCCCTCAAATAGGAGAATGTCAATCCACCGAGAATGTGAACGAGATTCCAATTCCACCCAACTAAACAGTTGGAATCGAATTCAGTTGGATTATATCAGATCGGATGGGGTGAATCCGTACTGATTCAAATATAAACAAATTGAATTTGGATTACCTTTAATTGGATCGAATTCAAATTCAAATTTGAACAATCAGATACCGTTGGCAGCCTTAATATTAACAAATCAATTTGGCATCAAGATCATTTGATTTGATTCAATCGGTTTGCAGTCCTTGGTAGGTCATTATGTCCAAAACATGGGATACAACAAGGTTTTGGGGTTAGACTCAATTATGGGTCTTGTGTATCCGAAGCCTAGAATTAAACCAAAGGTTAAGGTATCACTGTAAAATATAGTCTTAATGGGCCTCATTCCCGATCAGTACCCTGTATTATGGCTCGAGTGACAATTTGGTCCCCGAACTTTAAAATGTGACAATTCAATATTCAAACTTTCAAAATGTGACAATTCAATACCTGAATTTTCAAAATGTGACAATCCAGTACCTGCTGTTAACCAGTATGTTAATCAACTGTTAAGTGACATTTGAAAAGTCCAAAATGTCCTTTGATGTGGCGTAATCCGGTTGCTCCTTGCTGGATATGATCTGGCTGCCAGCAACGATGAGAACTAGGTTCCTAAAAGAGATGAGTCAGAGATCTTGGGGTGGCTTACCCGGCGAGGATACTCCGATGGCTAAGTTAGAGCACAGTAGTAGTAGAGAGAGCTTGAAGATGATATTAGAGCATGAGAGAGCTAGAGAGCAGGGGTTACCACCTCTTCCTTCAGCCTCTTTTCACATACCTTTGCCCCTGGGGGGTGAGGTCTTTATATACTGAAGTCCTCGTGGGTTAGGTGGAGCAGTTCCTGGATCCTAGCTGTGATGGGACTGGCTTGCGTGTTAGGTGGATGAAATGCCATCAAACGGTAAAACTGTCCCTTCTCGTCAGAACGAGGAGTGGGTGAGCTAATATAGCCGTTACAAGTCACAATCCCGTAAAATGCGGGGTACAGTGGTGAGCTCCTCGAGGTTGTCAGGTTGGCGCCTTTGTTAGGCCACCAGGTCGGTGCCTGGGCCAAGCCGCCAGCTCGTGCTAGGGCCAGGTCGCGCCAGGGTCAGGCTGCCAGCTTGTGCCAAGGCCAGGCTGCCAGCTCATGTCAAGGCCAGGCTGCCAGCTCGTGTCAAGG